ATGAGCCTCTCCAACCTTTAGCAACTCTCATGGCTTTGGATCCATTCAGTACAAGTCTGAGATGTGGTCCTTCTTCATGTACACATCTTATCTTTTATATACCTTAACTGTACTTTTTTTTCTCATCTACTCATGAATCACCTATATTTTCTAAATTCCCCTTCTGATCTCACATACACCCAACATTTCTGTAACATAATTCTTGAAATATTACTGTACTATTCCCATTCCCATATCAATGACCCTAACAATTTCTATGAGTCTATAGTTGATCTTTTCTTCCGAGGGAGATTTCACTAATTACTATTGGGAGGAAGTACAGACCTATTAAAGTGATGATTTTCATAATCTCCTTTTTTCACAATTAAATATTATTTGAGGGACTCCAATTCCTTTCCTGTTTGGGCACAACAGTATACTAAGGACATTCAATGAGGAGCCTGCTGGGTTTGTAGAGTATTATTACCTGCCTCCAACACCTCAGCATGACCACACTGGGTTTCCCCATTTCCGAGAAATGACTGGAATCAACTTTAACCATATATTTGGGAGGAACAACAGACACCCAGCATTGTGAGCACTTCTCTGCACGCAGATATCTCTAAATGGTCAATAAGTGATACTCTTTCAAAAAAAATCTTGGCAAAACTTTCTCAAAACTACAAATGCAGCCATTCGGCATTTGTCCCAATGATTGTTCCAGAAAGGCCCACTATACCCCATAGTTTGTAACAACAATAATCATTATCAGTATGACTATTTCCAAATTTGGGATGATTATATTTGACTCACCCTAACTATAGAAAGGCATACTCACTTTGCCCCACTTTGCAGGGAGCAACAAAATCACACATGTTCACATTGACCCAACGCCACTAAACATTTCAGATGAATTCCTAAGGAACAATGCTTACACATTGTTATTTTATCGTGAGAAGATTGGTTTGGCACAGATTGATTCTCTAGGTCAGAATTAGGTGGGCTACCCCTACTAGAATCCAGTGGCTTGTGGCAATATTTTATGTCCTTGCCTTTTCCCCACTTGAAGTGGATGCTGCACTCTGGGCTTCTCATGAATATGAGGAAAGTGGATTAAAACATTTAAGTCTACCAATCTGCCTGTACTGTCACTGGACAGGATCCGACAAACTTCCTACACCCATTCTACCTGAAGAATTAAGTTGTAGGTTCAGATTCCTGTCGCAGAAAAATAATTTTTAGGCTGTATCAGTAAGACACATAAAGGGATTTACTAGGCAGAAATTTAAATTTAGAAGTACACAGTCAAAGAAATAGAGTGTAGGCCAGGGCCCTCGAGAGAGGGCCTTATGACCCGGAGTTGGGTATATTTATGGGGCTTTGGTGTGTCTTCAAGATGGATGATTTAGGATGTGTATTCTGTTTGTCATGTTACCCATCTGTTGGGTTATGTCAGAATGTAAACCATTTCCATGTTCTTGAAGTTGAGATATGCTGCCCACTATATTGCTGCTTTTTTGAGGATAGAGGAAGCACAATTTATAGGTGAAGAGAGGTGGTTTATTTAAAGGTGAAAAAAGCTAATTTGCAGGTGAAAGGAAATTGCCAAGGTTTATTTTGCCTGGAAGAAGAGAGAAAACTCAAGCTGGCCTTGAGTAGTTTTTTGTGTCCTGAAGCTGCAGTTTTCTTAAAAGTACAATTTAAAAATTCTAATTTTTCTTGCCTCCTTTCCAGCTCTCTTTATTTTTTCTATCCTGCCTCGATACTACAGCACCATAGTGTCTTCCATTATTATGATTACCTTGCCTCTCTATTTGTTCATTCATCAGGAATTCAAGATGTCTTCTGGCATACCAAATCCCCAATCAAGTATACTCAAAAAGCCCTCAGTGATACAACTCAGGACATTTCCCTCTTAAACACAGAAATAAAACTACTAAGGTTAGTGGTTTTACAAAAGTGCATGGCTTTGATATTATAACAGCTGAACAAGGCAGAACTTGCACCATCATTAAGGTAGGACGCTACATATACACTCCAGATAAACAGATAGTGTCTCTTCAGCCCTCAGAAATTTACAACACCAGGTACAAGCTATGTCTGCCCTCACCCCAGCACTTTCTAACACTATCTGGCCTTGGTTAGGGTTCTCACAGCCTTCTTGGTAGAAATGGCTTCTAATGACCACTATCATTGTCATAACTATCCTTGTTTTGGCCCATGTCTATGCAATTGTTTTCTCTAGTTTGCTTCTTGCAGAATCCAACAGCTTTCACTGAAATGTGCTAGACATCCATGTGGCTCTATTATGCAACCCTATTTAGAGCTTGTTACCCAATTTCAATCTCAGTCATCAGCCTAAGGAAGTAGACCATGTACCTCTGACAATCAGCAAACTCAAGGGGCCCTCATCGATTCTCAGCTGAAAGCCTGTTATAGATATGATCACTTCCTCCACAGTCGGTGACTTGACTTTGCTGGTTGTCAGGGGGAAAACGGCTGCCAATTGCCAAAGAAAAGGATTAAAACTCTTAACCTCAAACTCTGGTTAAAGCTATCTTACAACAAAGAAACTCCAGTTAGAGACAGCCAGCTCTCAGAAAGTGTCCTACAACAGTAACTAACCTTTTGATGTAAAGTCCATTTATTTCTCCCAAAGAGTTCCAACCCATCATCTGTAAAAGATACGCAAAGATGTTCTTACCACTTCTTATCTAAGGCTAAAGGATTTAGCTTTATCTAAAGCTTCTCAAAATTGCAACTGCACACATATAATTGAAACGCAAGGCAGGTGCTCAGAGAAGGTCTGGAAAGTGCTAAATGATCCAGGAAAAGACATTTTTTTTCCATGGTTTGCCATCTTGGAGATTCTTAAACTCTTATAAAGGCCACAGTCTCCCACATTGATGGCATAATTTCTTTCCTGGAAACTTGCCCACTGTTTCCCTTAGCAGCACACTCTAGCCAAAATAAACTTGTGCTTTCTATACTTTTTGTCTTTTGGTAAATTCTTTCATAGCAGCTCTCCATACAACTTCTCACACAACACAGCTCTTTACCACAGCCGTGGAACAGAGCAAAAATAGATCTAAAACTGGCTTTAAGAAAACCTGTACTGAAAAAGAGGAAGTGACTGCCACTAATAACATTCAAAACTCTATTTATAGTGGCCTTATCAAGCTGGGAAGCCCTGGATTGGTCACCTTTCTTGCTGGGGTTCAGCTTTTCTGAAGCTTGTGGATGTTCTTTCTACAATCAGTCAATCAATCAATCAGCCAGCCAACCAACCATGTGGTTGTCTATCAAGGCAGACCTCATCATCCCAATGGTAGATCTCAAGAAGCCTGAAACCAAGTTTTTATAGAAATGTTGAAACAAACTGTCCCTTTGAAAACATGTAAATTTTTCCCTTAGATCTTTCTCCGAGGTCTAATATGATCTTGGCTGTTCTCAATGGGTTTCTTAGAAGACTTAGCCCCTGGGCCTGAGAAGCAGTTGACTCTCAACATCACAATTTGTATCACTTCTTGTTCACCTCTCACAGGGTATCTGACCATCAAGACACAGGTTGGACATGTATGCTCAAGGAAGGCCTGGCCTAGCTCAGGGAGGTGTACCCAAGTGGAATGGGAGTCAGGTCATTCGGCATGATAAAAACATGTCTGCATTCCTAAGTGACTACTGTGCTCTCTGAGTACTAGACATGTTCTTCCTTATAATTTTACTGCCTATACTCTAATTATAAAAACAGATATTTGTGATTTTATCTCGTTGTATTCACAAATACTTAAGAAAAGTGTTATGGTAACTTCAAAGAAACATGCAGCATAACACAACAATGACAAATGCTTCTGTACTTTAGTGTCACTGCCTATTTTTAAAGCATTCAATACTGACAAAAGCCTTGTGAGGTAGAAAACATCATTATCCACATTGTTAGATGGGGAAAATGAAGCACAGAGAAGTTGACAATCTTGGTAAGGTTAAGTGGTAGAACTAGGTCTCAACATGGACAGAATGACTACAGATCGGTGCTTTTAATTAATTGACGCCTGACAAATGTGACAAGGGAGGAAAATGGAAAACTGCTGAGAGACAGCTAGAAGAGAGGAAGGATCCCCAAACCCCAAAACAAAAAGAAAAACACCTAAACATCAATTCTGAAAAAAGAGGGCATAGAAAAATTGATTCTCAGTAGTTCAGCCTCTTCCATTATACTTCAGGCTGGTACGGTTACAATAGCTCCTGGGGAAGACATTCTCCCTCACAGAGTCTCAGTGAATGGACCCAGGGACCATAATGCTACCCACAGCATCTTTCCAACTACTACGTCCCACAATTTGATTATCCTGGAATTGGAATGCCTGGGTGCAAAAACTGAGCAGCTTTGAGTGTGTTATGAGGTTGCAAAAGGAACTGTGATTTAGTTTTTCCTTTCTCTTTCTTCTTCTTCTTCTTCTGCTTCTTTATGGTGAGAAAGGCAATGGAATTTCTCCAGCCTTCAGCGACCTCAATAATTCCTTCTAGAGTCTGGTCTTTTAAGTCTGATAGCCAGACATAGGAAATATGCTAGAACAAACCACTGGTTCCTCTGCCTGTGGCTCCAGTGTTCCAGCCTGGAACCTGAAACTCCATTCCTGCTGCTTCTCAGGGAGGGAGGTGGGTGCACTCTGCAGGTATCAGAGTCACAGACACCCGGGTTCAGGCTTCATCCCTGTTACTTATTTGCTTTGTGGCTTTCGGCTCAGCATCCCCGCTCTCTGTGTGGCTCCCCTGCAAACTATCAGGAAAAAAGCCCCTTCAGATGCAAGTTTCCGGGAGTCAGCAAGTGTATGAGACAGGTGTTGACCACAGCCTCCCACTTACTCTCCTCTCCAGGAGGATGTGAGCATCCCCGCCGGTGCGGACTGGCTCTCAATCACAGTTCCTTTATCCCGGTGCCAGAAGGAGCATCCTGATTATTTTCGAAACGAGAGAAAAAGGAAATGAAAACTAACTTCCGTCCCTCTCGGGATCCAGACCACAGCTCTGGACTCAGGCAGCAGCTCATCAAAGCCATGAAGTAACAAAACTGTGCTGCCCTCTGTCTTCAGAAGGGAGAAGTGCTCTGAGTGCCCAATCTAAAAACGAAAGTAAAAACTAGGAAACAGAAACTCAACTGCACAAGCAATCAGAAACTTCACTTCCTGGAGAGTGAGCTAAATTGAAGGTATTTCAGCAAACACTAACCTCCATCCCGAGAGGGGCAGAATGGTTTTGGACATTAGAACGTGGGAGCAGACGTTTCAAGAACTGATCCAGCAGGAGAAACCCTGGGCCAAGTGGACCCTGAAGTTGAATGAAGACATTGAGCCTGATTCTGTGGCCCCCAAGTGGAAGCAGCACCAGCAGACAGCACCTGGCAGGTGAGTGGGGATTTGTTCAGCACGAGAGTTTCCTGAGCAGAGAGGCTGAGTTTCTTGTTGATTTGTCTCTCTGAGAGCTTGTTGAAAGAAAGGCACCAGGTCTCTGGCCTTTTGCTGTCTCAGTGCTCTTTCGGGTCTAAAGGATAAACTGCAAGTTTCCACCTTGTTTATGTGCAGAAAGCTTATTCTTTTACTTGATTTCCTCCCCTAAATGTTCCTGGAAATCCTGGCAGAATGCATCCCCCTTTGCTGTGTGATCTGGTGCAGATGACCATAAAGCCCTCCGGAAACACCCTCCTGGGTCCCAGTGAGCCTCCCCAGGCTGTAGCATGTCTCCTGGCTGTGGCCCAGCCCAGGACAAGTCTGAGACCTGGTCCTTCTTTAGCATGCTAAGGACTGATTAAGATGGAGTAGTCACTTTGAATACTACTTTATCAAAGGCCCCGGGGTGATAGGGAAGAATGTGGCTGCAAAAGCTAAGTCAAAAACCTATTTCCTGGTGTTCTGTAGTCTCTTTCTGGCCATTCCCTTTCTAGCCCCCAGCAAGTCTCCAGGTTGTAGGAACCAGGTCCCTAGCTTGCCCAAGGGTGAGAGTGGCTGTGTGGACAATCAGCTCCTCTCCCTGTAAATAGCACCCTGCATCCCTCATCCTCTTTCTCTCTCACCTGCTGTGCTGCTGCCTGCCTGCCCAGCCTGCCTCAGCCCTGTGCTGCTCCAATCCTTTTGGACCATTAGCCACACCCTGCATGTTCAGCTTTAGGCTTCCCTGAGCATGGAGACTCCACACCTGTCACCTGAAAGCCTGTTTCTAACATATCAGGGTTCCAGCACATGCAGGTCCTAACGTCGGAGGAACCAGACTCACTGTGCCATGTTTCTTTGTGTCTTCAAAGAAAGATTTCTGATAAGATGTGTAGGCAGTCTCTATGGAGGACAGGTAGAGTTTATAACAAAATGATAGATTTTCAGCATGGGTGAAAAATACACCTTCAAGCATGAAAGAGGACAAATGCCATGATGGCAGTTCCACTGAGTGTGGTCTCAGGTTACATTTATAGGATTAACTGGATCTCTCAAGGAAACTTTTCCTTTCTCTTGGGCCACTGTTCTTTCAGAAGGAAAATGGGCTGTGTTGACCAACCTCAAACTAGGTTCCTGTTTACTCTGTAGGTCAGTGGTGGAGAATCTATGGTGCATGTTTTATTTGTTTTCCTTTGAAAGCAAAAAATGTTAACGTATGAATTTTTTTTCTAAACTGAAACCCCAGTATTCAGGTTTAATTGTAGTGGTGGCACTTTTCGATAAATAAATGGATTTCTGATTGCATTTTGGGCAGTGTATCTGAAAAGTTCGCTATCATTGCCTTATGTGGATGTTTTCTACTTGGTTTGTTTTGGGACCTTGAGGAGTTTCCAGTTCTTCACCCATGGTGTGGATTTTTTATGGGTCTTAAACTTCACCAGCACACTCAGAGGATGTTATATTCTCTGGGGCTAAAGACCAAAACCTCGGGCTTGTACAGATCTTATCTATAATGATTAAGTGAACAAAGGAAAAAGGACTATGATTATGCTGAACTTTCTGCCTAACACTAAGATGTTTTGCCTGTTTGGCAGCCCCTTGCCCCATTCACTCCCTGCTCATCCTTCAAGGAACACTGCAGGGTCACCTCCTCCTTAAGGTGTCCTCTGTCCTCCTAAGCAGAATAATTGTTCCTTCTTCTACACTGTCAAGAGAGAACTGTTGTGTGTATAATATAAATACATGATATGTATTTTGAAATAATCCATTTATAAACATTATGTAAACTATATATTTTGAGCTAAAGAATTCATTAATTTCAATTGTAGCTCTGACGCACAGTTTTCAGGCCATTTGGCTGAGCTGAGCCTATGCACCGATGACTTTGTTCTGCTTTTATGTAATCCAGTGATCTGTGTAAGAATCTGCCTGCACCCTGACCAGAGCTCTTTGTGAGCCTCACAATGGCTCTTTCCATTTTGGTCCTGTCCCCATCAGGAAAGCATTTCTTCTGTTCAGGTAAATTAAGTTGATAGTCATACTGAGATGGGAAGAACAATCTACCAACACACTTTTGGAAGATATCAGTCAGCTTTTCAAATTGTCTCACAGTGTATTAAGAGCTTTTACATACACGGAGTGTTCAGAAAATAAATGAGTGTCTGAATTTTAAAAATGGAATTCAGTAAAAGACACACCATCAATGCCCTTCAAAATGTTCAAAATAGTCCTCTTCACTTTGCACACTTATTCCATCATTTTTGGCAACATGTCTTTAAAATTTGTACATTCACAGTATTTTCCATTGGCCATCACCATCATCATTCAAATTTGTCTCATTTAAACCTGATCAAAAAACCCACAATTTTTTTTTAATGAACTTAAAAATTAAGGTTTAGGGAAGGGATGTATTTTATCTGACGTTTTGTAATGAAAACCATGCACCTCGACCTTCAAGTGAATATTGTGGCTCCAGGTCCTAATCTGTTTCCCTGGATGCGAGATGAGTTATATTGCTTCTTAGAGATGATACAGTACGGTAAGCAGATAAACAAGGTTGGTGTCAAATGGCTTAGTGTCAGGCAGCCATGCTTCTACCACATATCTTGTATGTCTTTTATGACTGTTTCCTTATATGGATGTTGAGCTCAATGTTGCCTATTTCATAGGAATGATGTAAAGGTGATAAGGAATAACACTGTCAGGCATCGATTATAATGACTGCCTCCAAATAGTTACTTCCTTAAAAATTTTCTGTTATCAAAATGAGAAACAAATTTACCATGGACGATAGAAATTCTTATTCCCTCTGTGGCACCCAAAAATGGTTTTACTAGCCAAGAGGCAGCCTTGACACGTATGTGTGAAAAAGCCATGTCAGCAAAACTCTTCTCACTTCATGTCCCGGAGAGTGTGGCAGTCCAGATACAGCAAGTGTTGTCCCAAATTCAGATGCATCCTAGGGATGAGTTCAGCTGGCTGAGTTCACAGCAATGGATTCTTCCCTTTGACCTGCAGGTTCTCGTGTACCTTGTGTCATCAAAGTTGGGATTCTGCCCAGGTGAAGATCCTGTGCCATGTGTACTGGGACCACTGGACATGCCAGGGCCAGGTGTTTATGCGGCTTTTTGCTCAGAAATGCCAGAAGTGTTTATGTTCCCAACTTGAGAATCCTGAGTTCTCCACTGATAGCATCATGAAGATTCTGGAAACCCTGGTACAGTATATTCTGCAGAGATACTA